AAGTTCGTTCATGGAATGCAGTGTATCTTCATATTAAAAAAATATTTAGTAAGGTAACAGAAACCATAAGATTAGTTCGGATTAATAAATAGAATGTGAGTATCAATTACACTGTTAATTTCAATTTAATCTTCATCTATTTCTTAGTGATGTTAAATACCGATAACAAATAAAATTATATTGATAGACGTTGACTGGTTTGACCCTACCAATCACCTTGAAATGAATTATTTTATAATAACTTAGTCTCATCTATTGCAGCCGCCTAACAAACGCCTACTTTGTAAAATAAGTTTTTTATTTTATTTATTTCTTTATTTTAAGCTACTAATGGCCCTTATGATAGTCAAACATATACATGTTATAACAATATAAATATAAATCATCTCTGTGGTCTGACGACGTAAATCTGCAACAGCAGCGCCGATACACCATCCCCTTCGATCAGAGACCTCTTTGAAAGTGGGCAGAATGTTGGTGGGGACCCGGGCCACAAACGCCTTAAAACGCACGTTGTGACTTGACTCCAGCTGCTTCACCCTAAATGTCAGGTTACTCCGTAAATTGTAGACAATGTCCTATTACTTGGTGGTTGTAGGGTAGATAAGGGATTGATGATAGAAGATACCATTTTAGTTTACTGAAATAGCAACACATTGGTAGAACGAAGTATCGCGGCTGTTACACGTGTAAACGGATGGACTTCGTCGAGACGTTCTTACTCCTTGTTATTTACATATATAAGCGACGTTTAGGGGTAAATATCACCAATAATATTAACACCAACCATATTTAACATTCCAATTACTTAAAAAATATGCGCAAAGATTTGAATATCTCTTATGTGAAGTCACCAGAATTTCTACAATGCTTTCTACCCATATTATCTGAGAATTATGAGATTTATTTTATTATTTAGTACCAGTTTTTTTCTATTGTCTGCGTAAATATTGTTGTATTTCAATATTTCTGTAAAAAAAATAACCAATTACGTAGTTCAATAGACTCTGTTAAAAATCACTTATTCTACGAAACATCGTATTTTTGCATTTTGATGAATTTCGTTACGCTGGAGCTTTAACATGAACAATTGAATTTAAAATATAACTTCGATTTCGTTTTTACGTATTTTACCAAACACCGTTGTCATAGTAACAATAAGTTAGTGTTTATTTAGTTGGAATATTAGATGATATATTAGATATATCATTTTTTCTAAAATTTATAATAATTAATTTTATTTTGCTAGAGGTAGATTTTGTACCTTTGTCTCTTTTGTCAACCTTTTTATGCCGCCCATCAGTTTGTCTTAAAAACAGTGTTTCTGTTTGAATATGGCAGAACCGAATACTTATTAAACCTCATTATGAGAAATAAGTTATCATAATTCTTATCATAGTATACCGTCTTACTTCCGATGGTCGCGGGTTCGATTCCTCGGACGGCATAAACATTTGATTTCGATTGTTTGTATCGGCCTGGGTGTATCATATATATAATATGAATGTATTTACGAAAAAAATTACCATTTTTTACTACGTACATATGAATATAAAAATGGTATATACACCAAAATAACATTTTTTACGATTTTTGTCTGTCTGTCTGTTTGTTTCGAGTAATATATGAAATGGCTGGACCGATTTTGATGGGACTTTTTTTGGCAGGTAGCTTATGTAATAGGGAGTAACTTAGGCTATATTTATTTTAGAAAAATAAAGTTAAATACCACGCGGACGAAGTAGCGGGAATAGCTAGTATTATATATAATAGTTTACATAGATCATAATGTTCGTTTCATTTAAATGTGCTATAAATCCTAACTCTACGAATATTACGCTTGCATTAAAACAAACACACACATTTTACCAGGGTGGGTTATAACGAAATTCAACTAATTAGAACCAACTTCCCGCTGAACAAACCAAACCATTTGAATAATTATCAAACATACTGATTTTCCGCTTTGTGAATATACTAGTTACATTTTGGCAGTTACGAGATCAAAAACATTGAATAAAATATAGGAAACAGTAAACTTTACTTCACATTGAGACGCGTGAGTTCGCATAAAATGACCCGGCATTCGGTAAGTATTAAAATAATATCGGTCCACGAGCACTAGGATTTATCAAATAGTATTCCGTTTGCACAAACAAACCATAAATTTGGAGATTTAAAAAGCTTTTATCTCTTTGTTTGCCCGGTTGTTTGGCGCAATATCGTGTTGAATATAAAATTCGTACAGAAATATCATAGTTCAATACCCCGATTGTGGAGTATTCGCATTTATTTCTGGCTGTATTCTGAAGTAAAAATATTAAAATTTATATGCCATATATCTAGGTCATCGAAGCCACTGGGAAGCTGGTGGCCTAATTTGTTGCAACAGTTTTATTTTAGTTTTCCTAAATAGTATTATAGGTTACGTTCACTTGAACTGCTCGTAGGAAGTTGTATTTGTTAAAAGAATATACATATATATCTGTATAGTCCGTTAGACTAGTAACTATCATATAGTAATAGTAATGACCAGAATCTGATAAATAAAAAAGTTTTATTTGTTGGAATAATAATTATTTTTCTATATGTTCTTTACTGGGTTTTATAAATAATGACTTCAGTTCATAACATGAATTAATAATAAAAAATAAATATTTTCATGAATTTTGTCCTGTCTTCTATTAACACTGTATAATATACACTAGAAGTAATAGTCAAATAATTTTGAAACTATTATATTAAATTAAATTTCCAGTAATATACTGGAAATTTAATGTGAATAAGTTTTGTGTATTCACGTAAATCAGTTCGGTGCAAATTAATAACAATTTACACTTATTTATATTTAAGTTCACATAGAAGTATATTCTTTTTGAAATCGATTATTACACTTATGTGTAAAATGAATATTCAATTAGATCCTTTAAAAGTTGGGTCTGTAAGAGAAGCTTGACAAAAAATGTTAATGAAATACACAAGGTAAGAAATATAACGTGCTAATGTTAGTAAAGTAAAATTAAGTCGGCCATATCGGTCAGCTAGAACTTTGTAGTTTGTGTCGAACTAACTGTAAATTCTCTATTTAGATTTATCCGGTAAGGCGGACAACGAATAACAAGCTTAGCACAACTTCAGGCATACATGATATACAATATTAAATTTTTTACATTGATAATGATAAAAGATTATTAATTATTATTTGAATATTATAAGCATATATATTTATGATAAGTACTAGAATTATTAAATATAAACACTGCAATGCTTTAGTGACTTTACTATGATTGTTACTCGATGACCGTTGATGTGCCATTGTACACTCTCGATACAATATTTCCTTTAGTATATTTTTAAATATTGACAGAAACATATACCTACATTATCTCTACTTCTGCTTACAGTTCAATAAATATCAAATATTTTTCGCGAATAAGCTTATATCGATTCCGACTCATAGAACACATTAACATCAAAGCGAATCTCAGGTCATCATACAGAAACCGATTTAAGTACATCAGTAACACGACCCGAACACGTATCACCTACCAGGCAATCATAAGTTCAAGAAGTATTAAGCCTCAGATTTGAAGAGCAAAAAGTAGCGATAACAGCGGGGACGTCGTTTAACGTTATGACCCAACTTCTAACGAGCTGCCATAAACTGGATATTTACTTTCCTCACCTTCAGTGGTACCTTTCAAGGTAAAAATGTACTGCACGGGTGTTACCATAAAATCTTATGACGAAACTCTTGCTCTCTCTGCGCTCCTGGTAGGTTATGGCGCGATCAACCTAAGACGCTATTGTTTTCTTTCCAATTTTAATAGCTTTCTTTTTCTTTCATCCTTTTTGTATCTCTGAAGGTTAAAACGGGTTGTTAACTTTTATATAGAGTGTCATAGAAATGACGTTGGAAATAAATTGCCTATTAGAGTCGAGTCCTTTACTGGCTCTACAAAAGAAGGGTTCCGTGAAGTTTTACTTTTTGAATGACCTATAAAGAAGTATTTTATTAGACTATTTATTTGTTATAAAAATGGTTCTTTTCTAAACACTGACCACATAAATTGTATTGTATATATCAGGCATACTAGTCATATTAATTTGTTGATCAAATAATAAACGGCGTTATATAGATTCTCTATTTATGAAATGAAAAAATACAATCTACAATTGTTCACGTCTACAAAGTGGCAAGTTTCAATATATTGTATTAAAATAAAAGGAAGGAAGATAGATATAATACATTTTAATTATACAATAAAAATTGTTGCTGTTAATCTGTGTTAAGAAATGAAGGTTATATAATCTGGCAGATTATCCGGTTGAATCTTGTGCAAGGAATTCCTAACATTTAAGAGATTTATGTTTACTAACTTATCTACAGAATAATGTTTATCAAGTCATCACTGCCATAAGTCAGTCAGAAGGGTTTAACCAGTATAGTTTGAGGGGCTAATTGAAATATATTCGTGAAAAATATTCATTCACTTCACTCGTAAACCAAGTACCACCTACTTATCGAGATTTGTTTTAAAACTATTCTAATGCTACTGGCTACACAGCTATCTTTTACAGCTTTACCGGATATAGTAAAACCATTTTATTTTATGATTTAACCATTATGCTGTAATGCAAAAGTATATCAACTGCAATTATTTCAATGCTCTTTCACATCTAAATTCATATATAAGCCTATTTTAAAATATATAATAACGTCACCTTTCATAATGAAACTAGTAAACTAACCTATATCTTAAAAAAAACATATACTTTACATATATACTTTCGGGGTATTTAGTTTTTTAATTATATACTCTTATTTTTTTTATCTCTATCCCTAAAGGAGTCTATGTTAATTTATATACTGATGGAAAACGAAATCGTGTCAAAAGTTTTTTTTTGTATATTTTTAAAGATATAAAATTTTTATCACCTTACAAAACATTTATTATAAAGATTTTCTAGATACTAAAACATTTATTCTTTATTTACAGGTACAATCAACGCGCTGAAATCCGTCCAAATAGATGTACCGAAGGCCGTATTAACGGGGCAGAATGCTGAGCTGATGTGCAGATATGAGCTGGAAGGTGCACAATTGTATTCCATAAGATGGTACAAAAATATGATGGAATTCTATCGATACGTGCCCAAGGAATCACCAGCGACCAAAGTGTTTCCAGTTTCAGAGATAAAAGTCGATGTAAGTATTGTTATATAGATATAACCCTTCTTTATACATAAAAAAACTAGTACACAAAATACACTGTTAGAATGTGCAAAGAAAACGGCGGTCTTATCGTCAAACTATCTTCTCCTCTTAGGGGAAAGTAGGAAATTAATATAAGATCTACCCATTGGTTACTTCGTTACTATTATTGAATAATACATAGTTTCTTATTCATTTCTGTTATTGATATCCTATAATGTAATATTTTTTATCTCTACTGATCATAATTCCAATTCAATTATTTGCATATATTATATTGTATCATATTGCTGACGATTACTAATTGGCATTGGATAATTGCAATATAATTAGTACTATGTAACATTAGACTGCTTATCGAGTAAAATAAATTACTTCGATAATACGAAGTGATAGATATATATTGTAAGTATTGAGCGTCAAAATAATAATTAAGTACAGATAATAATTTTGTATATTTATATACACGTTATAGATTTTTTTCAATTTATAGAAATTATATTTATTTCACTATACATAGAATAACTTAATAAAATGAAATTAGATCATAAATTGTAATTGTACATGTTGTGCATATAAACAAAACAATGGAACTGAATTTAATTGGATCTTCAATATTTTTTACCCGTAACAGAGAACGGAAAATTTTGATTTAACTTTCACGGTATCTGATCATATTTGATGCTGTAATTTTCCTAATGTATTCCCCCATTAGAGACATAACGGAATTCCGTAACACGTTTGGAAGTTCAGAGATCAGCTTTTCAAACTAACCATGTGTTCGGAATCGCATTTCACTGCATCGAGATATTTGTTTTGATGCCGTTCGTAGCATATACTTGTAGGATCTTTTTGTTTGTAGCTATCTCGTTCGTTTCATCTGCGTATTTAACACTGTGCTTGTTATCAAGTTAACTAAATAATGCTGTTGCAAACAATTCTCATTTTGATACAGATTAAAATCCATAATTTTGCAAGTTTTCACGGACCTTTTCAGAGTTGCAATTAAGTCTCTCATCAAAATCAAAATCTCGGCATCCACTTTGACAGAACATTGTCATGGTCAGTTCAAATGGCTGAGGTTAGTCGGAAAATTTTCATGGCCGCAGGCTCACTCAGAAGATTGGGTAATTTCCTGCCCATAGACACCAAAATTTCGCTTGCACACACCTTACTTCTTCCTATATTATGCCGATACCTGCTACCTAGATCTCACCGAAGTCCAATTAAATAAACTTGAGCGCCTTCAAAATATTTGTATTAGGTTTATATTTGGACTACGCAAATATGACCATGTCTCTCAGTTTCGTTCACAGCTCAAGTGGCTCCCTATACGTCTACGCCGGGACTGGCATATCCTCTCTCTTCTTTATTCAATTCTTTTTAACCCTGCAACTCCTTATTATCTCAAAGAAAAATTTGTATTTCTCGGTGAGGCACAAAATCATGGCTGTTATGTCTTAAAACTCCTTCCCATACTTCCTCCTTCTACACCAATTCTTTCGCTGTGTACGCCGTGCGACTGTGGATTATACGTAGCGCTCAATCATTAGCTATTTTTAAAAATGCTGTAAAATCACACTATCTCTCTCATTAAATTGTCTTTCTACTATCCTTTTCTTTCTACTAAATTGTCTCTTTCTTATTTGCACATTGCTTAGTTACTGTGTATTATTACTAATTTACTTTTTTAATTTTATATTTATATTTATATTATGTATAATGTATGTATATTTATTTATGTTATGTGTATATATGTATATATATATATATGGATATATATATGACATATTACTATTATTATTCATGTCCATTCATTCTGTCTTGCGCCATCCACCACCTTCTGTCTTTTCTCCTCTACCCAAAGGTTGTCTGGAAGAAATCGCTTTAGCGATAAGACCGCCTTTTGTGCCTAGCCTACCTTTCTGTATATTATGAATATTGTTTTTTCTTTGGATTGTTTTTAAGGTGCAATAAAGAGTTATAAATAAAAAAAATAAATAAGTTTGCAATTCTCCAAGTTTATACTTGTTTTTAACTGTCAAATATTTCGTTGAAAATCACAAATTATATATTATAAGTCAGGAAGATATATATAGTAAGACATATAGTATAATAATAAGAAAGTATGGAATGAAAAATTAACTAACAAAACTGTTATCTCTTTATAACTTATTTTTACTATATTAAAAAGTTTTTTTTTTCATATAATATTATGTACAAATTATACGGGCTATAATAATAATTAAAGGGCTAATAAAATATTAATTTTTATCCCATTTTTTATTAATAAGTTCGAAAGAGTTTCAAGAGTTCGAAGAAGTTAACTACAATTATTCGTATATTTGAATCTGTCAATATCTCAACTCTGTTTCAAACGCCTATATCTATTGTCTAAATAATAATAATGTCAACTCTAAATCATGAGATAGCATTTTTTAACATAGGTTTATAACGACGGTAAATATCTAAAATAATAATATAAACATATTGTGTGTACATACAACATTTGCCAATACAAATTGTCGGGCCCCATATAAAATACCGATATATACCGCCATAAAGATTTTATTGTAGCATCTAGCCCATGTGATATATGTGTGTCGAACCAATGCATTTTCAATGAAGCCCACGTTTTATGACCTGTCAGTTTTTCTATCAAATAATATTCTATTTGTTTATATAACTAACGCTTGGATTGTAATGAAAATTGGAGAGAAATATTTTTAGGAAAATAACAAGAATTGATAGACGTCAGTGAAAGTGTAATTCAAAAGGTGCAGTGACGATCAATGTCAAATGTTAAAAACCTACTGCAACCCACAACGCTAATATAATGTTTATTCAAATTCTAATCATCACACATATTCTTAACTAAACTCTATAACACAAACTTAAACTACTAACTAACTAATAAAATTAAAGCATTATTAAGCAAGCAACTAGATAGCGTAGATTCACCGAAAGAAATATCTACATTAGATTTCATTTCGTCTTTAAGAACTAATCAGTTTATAGTATTAAATTTAGTTTAAAATTTGAAAGGTTTATAAAATGTTAGTTCTAATTTTCTGCGTTGTAACGAACTTTCAATTTGAATTTGAATATTAAAAGAGGTGAGCAAAAGAATAATCGAATATAAGAGGTAATATTAAAGTATAACTGGATCTTACCACGTTTTATAGGCTTTACCACGGGTAAACGGGTTTACCCGTGATTATGGCGGTTGCAACAGCGCCGAATTATCGGGGATTCTAAAATACGAATGAAACGTGATTATTCTATAGGACGTATTTGTATTTTTGTATTCTTTTCTGGGCAGTTATTATATCTTAAAAATATCTGAAAGAGATGAAATAGGGGATAATAGTTCTTGCAGACGTATTCGCGATTCACAGCTAGTCCGTCCAAAAAATATTTGCGTTTGCTTTCCAATTCTATAATGTAAAAAATATAATATAGAATTGGAAAGCAAACGCAAATATTTTTATATATAATATAAATGTAAAAAAATATCCGAAATTACATTTTTTCTAAAGAAATGGAAATCACCCGGGTAATTTATGATAGCCGTAACAACAAATAGTAACCCCTAGTTGAAAAATCAATGAAGATTAGGTTATTACATCAACAAAGGTAACTGTATTAATGAAGTGTACTAAACGACAAATTAAAAAAAAAACAACAATTAGACAAGACTCCTAAATAGAATTTTCAGATATAAGAGAACTTATTTTTCTTAATTCTGTTCTTTAGGTAGCAGCATCAGACCAAAATCGCGTAGTCCTGACAGAGGTAGACCGGACGTTGACGGGGGAATATCAGTGCGAGGTGTCTGCGGATGCCCCCCTCTTCCACACGGATATCAAGTCAGCTGAGATGGTTGTAGTTGGTTAGTATACATATTTTTTATATAATTGAAATTGCAATAAAACGAGTGTCGTGGTTTACTATCCTGAATTACGCCCAGTTTGTCGTGAGTTGCTAAATGTAGCCGACAACACGATAAAAAAAATCTATTTGTGTCCATTTATACATCTAACGGAATGAAAAAGTGACGGAAATACAGATATTAAAAAAAAATGAATCCATGGCAAGCTCGCCACCTGCCAGTTTGGATTAGAATGTAACGAATGAAATGTGGACATGCCACTAGAACCTATCAGGCTCATGTGTAGCAAGCATTACACAGTCCATCCTGAACTAAACAATAGAATAACAATAGAAGTACCCATAAATAATTTATGTCGAAAGCTTAGATAGAAGAAATGATATCAATTTGTATTATGTTGTTAATAGTAATACAATTAGGCAAGTCTGTAGGCAAGAAATTTATTATCCGCAGTATAAGATAGGCACTTGCTATAGCTATAGGAATTATTTGCTCGCACAGAGACCAGTTTGTTCTGAACAATGAAACGGGTATATAGGTATATTTAAACTTGTAAACTGATTTTAATCTGGTACATTGCGAAAAATGCGGGGTCACATTCCATTCCTGGCCATCCACATAAATAAATAATTACTCCGGTTATTCTCTGAGAGATATGGGGTTAATGACCTGTGCAAGCAAATTTTCGTGCTTTCTTTTAATTTGTCGGGTTACTTGTCTTTTAGCTCTTAAACTAAATTGCTCTGTCCCTATTTATTTATGTACAGTTGTTTACAAAATGTACTTGGATAGCTGGAATGTTGTTTAGTTAAATTACAACTTTTCTTTGTACAGCAGCTATAAGGTATTTAAAAGATGTTTACAACTTTTATTTTTTTATAGCTTAGGAACAGCGCCCAAATAAATTTAAGTAATTTGAATCTTGAATTACTAGCCATTTAGGGAGAAATTACAAACAACATTCTTAATACTAATTCCATCAGTAGTGACTTTACGACACTTTTTAAGGCCAACTGTAAGTAGTTTTCTAAACCTTGTATTATAGATTCTTTCTTTGTTTTATATATTTACATTTTTTAATGAATAATGGTATACGCTAAAGAGGCACTCGTAGAGATCTATAGAATAAGCATATAATCATAAATAACTAGTGAAATAGAACGTAGGCAAATAGTAAACAATTCTATTACTAACTACATTTACGTTTCAACCATAACGAAATAAAATTACCTCTTTTTTACGTTCGAAAACAAAATCAGCTTACTGCTCACGTTAAGGCGATGAAACACCGGACGTGCTGTCTCCTTAGGATTTTCATGGGTGTGGTAGACTGACTGACTTTGTTTTCTAGCCGTAAAAATACAAAGCTCATTTTTCCTCACTGGGGTTGTGGCGTAAATGTTTTTAGAAATAGAATCGTTAGACATTTGTCTGCAGCCTCGTTATAGAGCAACATGTTAAGCGTGAACCTGTTTTTGTGAACAAGCTAGTTTTCGACCAAGTATAATACTCATTTTACAAATTATTACTAATTTCTTGTTCAAAATATTTATCATTATTAAACAATAAATATGTATTCTATAGGTATGTAGTTACTTGTCATGCAATGTTTTTATTAATTAAATGTGAAAATCTATAAATTATTAAAATATTTAAGAAATTTTATGTAGCTATAAGTTTAGTATGAAGCCGTATACGAGAGACAAATCCTTTTAACTGTTACTGATAATCTATCTAGCGTATTACCTACAAATTACAAAATGATTGTTATTTTACAATAACAGATCGTTCGTATATTATAATAAAAAAGGACTTCTTTTTAACACTAATTGAAGACTACTATTTACGAAACGAATATAGATATACCTATATAAGTCAGATTGAACATTAATAGTCGCTGTCAATATTTAACAAAACATTTTGCAATATTCGTAGGCAAATTTTCATAAACATCACTATACAAATGCTTTGAGTTTGTTCGGTGACCATCTGCCCAATTTTCAATATTTCCACTCATTCCGCGAATCTTTTATTAGGATCTGTGAAATATTGCATATTCACAGCGCAGATGGCATTTTGTCCGACAAAAACAAACGCAGCTCAATCTGACTCGGCTCCAACTGGAATATTGTTATCTTTTGTTCGGATTTTTTCCCAATTTCGATGGATTCACACATTCTTGGATAAATATTTGCGGATATTTTTGGGTATATAAACACAAACAGAAATCCTAACCGATTTTCTTCTTTTAAGGTACTATCGAATGTTATTTGTAGGATTGAATAAGTGAAGCTGGAAGAGGTGAATAACAGACTTGAAACAAATTTGATAATGAAATATAAATTCGAAATACGAATTTTAAGTACAAAATTACGAACCCAGTTAATAAAATTTTAATCTTAATAATATTATAAACTTGAAAGTTTGTTACTCTTTCACGCAAAAACTACTCAACAGATTTTGTTGAAACTTTACAGTAATATAGCTCAGAATAATTCATCATTCAGCATCAGAATAATTCATAGGTTAAAGATATCAAGCGGGTGAAGCCACGGGCACATCTAGTTATTACATTTTTTTTTCTTTTATACTACAGCAGTTAACCAGTCAAAAAAAGTAAGATTTTCAATTCCAGGCATGTGTCTATTAGAAAATAACATTGATGAAACAAAATGGTTGCTATTTTGTTTTGAAGACTGGAATACGAGCGTACCCTTGTTTAGGATAAAACAATTATTATATGAAATTTTGTAACGTAAAATATTATTTCTTCCAACAGAACCGCCATTAATTAGTCCAAACGTCACGTCAGACCGTATGTCCTACGTTGGAGGCGACCACATACGAGCGAATTGCTCATCACCGCCGTCACTTCCAGCGGCCAATATTACGTGGTACGTCAACGAACAGATGGTAAGTTGTTCTGGTTTGTTTCATACAGTTGTATACAAATTATCATTGAGCTATTAGGTATTAAATCTACTATAAAAATGTTACATACAAACATGAATCACTATATGTAAGTCATGGCGCTATTAAGATAATTATAAAAATGTAATAACTAATCTCTGCACCATTCGTGGTTGACATGAAAATGCACTATTATATGTAATTTAGTCATGGCACTGTTTTTGTTGCAACAGAATTTTATGTTGTTGTTGTTTTTTTACATAACATTAATTTGGCCAGTCATTGAGGAATATAAATTGAAACACAAAGTTTTTTAAGGTGCCGGCCTGATTCAACAAACTAAACCAAATCTTTATCTTTATATGGAACTACACGATAAGCTTTTGAATAAGAATATAATTATTCATCGGTTGACATAGACAAAAATTCTGAAGTAACACACAAACTTTATGTATATTTATATACATTTGTATGTTATGTGCGTAAGAACTTTATTAATATAGTTTGTCGGATTTTTAAACGATAAATATAATGATATCATCTAAAGCATAAATATAACAAAGTAGAGAATTTAATACCATGTTTTTTTCCTTTTTTTATTTCGTTACAAACATCATTAATGTTATAATTACATGTTTCAAATAAATAATGTATTATGATAATGTTTGCACCCAGGTCCCCGGCTTTACTGCAAACCACATGTTAAACTTCAGTAATGGCTATGCCTCCAGTTTGGCGACATTAGAACTGGAGGCGGCCGCATTGTCACCTGTGCCTACACTTATGATTCGGTAAGAGGCACATAAGATAGATATGTAGATATTATCAGTTAAGCCGCATACGTTGATTTCGGTGGTGTAGCTATAAACAGCTACACACCGCCTTACGTCGAATAGTCGCGAGATCGATTCCTCGCACGATACAAACTATTCATGAGTACGATTTGTATTAGTCTAGATTTTTTCTGCATGTATATGTATCTGTATTTACGAAAAAAATGTATTTAAGATTTCGATCAGCTGTTTATACCCACAGTCAAACTCTGCTTAATTTGGAACTAGATAACTCTATGTGAATTGTCTTGAAGTAAATAAAATTAATAAAGTGAGTACTAGGTAAAACTATCTAATACTCTCCAAGCATATACATTTTGTTTCAAGCGCATGAATGTAGCTGTATATAGCTGTACAGGTAAATACTACTGGGAGGCATATTGAATAGCATCAGCCCAACGTGCAGGTGTTTTACCTTTGCCTCTTTTTTCACCTGGCTTTACGTTATACAGTACTACAGATTATCTGGTTTACGGGGGACTACGTGACTGAAAAAAAGTGAGAGATAGCGGATTTTGTCATAAGGACGGTAAACTCTGGAACAACTGCACCGATTTGATTCGTTCTTTTAGTGTTTGATAGGTACATTATTCCAGAGTGACAAGGACTATATATTCTGTTATTATAATAATATATATAAATCTCACAATTTCAAAAAAGAATTACAGAAACATAAAGTGATTGATATATTATACTTTCTGCATATGCGAGGCGTTACCTTTGTTTGCCACAGAAATCTATGGTAATTTTAGTAATCTAATAGTTTTAGTATATTGTTGATTGTCTACTAATGTATATTATGAATATTATGTACTTTTTTAGATACTATGTCAATAAATGTGAAGACATACACTTTCTTAAAAAATCTACAATTTATCCGTGTCCTATTGCACTCTTTCTATCTCTATATTTTATCAGTACCACTCTTCTATAATTATACGTTAGAAATTCTCAGATTATATTATTATTTCAGATTATATTATATATTCAAATTTCTTTCTCTTACTTTATATTCCTAGAATTTAATATATAAATATAGCACACCCGTATTGTTCCAGATGTGAAGCATCGATATTCGATGTGTGGAAATCATCAAGCCATACGCTAGTTTTACGAGAACGAAGTGCAAATCCTGCGTCTGCGTTAGGGAGAAGTTTTACAGGTAAATTATAAGTAAAAACTTATTTTTCCAACTATACTAATGCTGTTAGTTTTATAGCGAGTGCTGAAGGAACTCGCGGAAAAACTTAAAGGCAAACTGCTGCCTGATGGATATAACTTTAGTGTGTGGACACCTCCATTGGTTGGTATCTCGATTCAGGAAGTTTTAATTTCGATCCCCGTTTGAATAGGAGAGGAGAACTTCGAAGTTACAAGAACACCATTGGTTAAATTATGTATCAAATGTATATAAATTTAGTAGCTGAAGTAACGAGTAGTTAAACTCTGAAAAATAGTATAAGTAGGTGAATCGATTTTTACAATATTTTAACTATTTTGTATTATTTATATTGTATACTGCTAAATTACTTGTCATAAAATTTGGATGTAATATTAAACTGGCAATACTGGCGATATTCGAGAACGTATTTTTATAAACGAGTATGTATGACATAGCGAGTATTTATCTGAACTCTTAAACTGGTGGACCGATTTTTATATTTTTTTGTGTACGTTTGAGTAGATCCCTCGATCCAAACTAACTACAACTAAAATAGTTGTAGTTAGTTAGTTTGGAATTTCTCTGCGTGATCGTATCAGCACCGATCCCAGCAGCAGCGCAGGACCGATCGTCGTGGAGATTTTTGGAGGTGGCCTTTGTTCAGCAGTGGATGTCTTCCATGCTGAAATGATGAAGGCAATTTTTTTTATTTAATTGAATTGGCAACTAAGCTGATAGCCTTGATGATTATTGGCAATCGTAAGCAGTTGTACACTACTAATGAACATGACATGGATTAATTATATATTTTTTTTTTAGGAGGAGCGACAGAAACATGTTTACCGACATTAATGGTGCTCCTACTACAAATACTACTACAGTTTTTATTAAGAAGCTATACTGGCACGTCAATAAGATAGCTGACTTGATTCTACTTATACTAATAATATTATTACGTGTAGTTTATTCGTCTCAGGGTTCGAAGCAATTTGAAAATTGTAATTATTATATTAAATATTGTTAAATTAATATATAATACGGAATATTTAATATTTCTTTTAGCTTTCATATTCTATTTTGTTATTTATTTGTAATTTGCAAAGAGAAATGGATAACATTTTAAAAGATACAGAATTTTAATGTGAAATTTAAATAATGTCTAACATTATGTTTTGAGCAATAATAAAGAAATGTCCACATCAATTCACATAAAAAATTATATATATTTATATTAGCTATTACTTTATTTAAAAAATATTAAAAATTATTTAAAATTTCAAACTTTTTATTGTATAATTATTAGACGCCATATTTATTATTGATATAGACTGATTATATTGAATAATAATTAACAATGTACATAAAGTTAGATTTGTTTGTAAATATTAAAATAACGTCATGTTCAATACATAGGTAATGTTAAATTTTTCTAATAAATGTTAGTCCGAAACGTGTATAATATTATAGTAGGTATAAAATTAATGATCTGCATTATAAATTGTAATAAAATGTCATGAAAGTCATAGACTTTTTATTTTAGTCAATTTTATTCACTGTTGAATTTTATTACAAATATTAATATCATTAATTTTGATGTAAATTCAGTTGTAACTATAATTTATTAGATTTCTTTTACTTCGTTTCTGGTTCAAAGCTATCTGGATCTGTTTAAATATTTTATTACATTTACTTAGTAGTTTTTTTATATAAATATAAACTGACAAATTTTTATGCTCTGTTTTATTAAATTTATATTTTTTCGCTTCTTAATATATAAATGTATTTTTTATCACTATATTTTAATTGTTAAACAAATATTGTTATTATATAAAATAATATGCCATCATATAAAATCTTATTGAATTCACAATATATAATTAATATTAGTTATTATAATTTAAATTCTGTAAGAAGGAGGCTGTGTTTGTAATAAATGTAGAATATTATTAAAGTTTATATTTATTATTCATAATCAACAATGAGACGTTAAAAACTCATTTAATACCCTCAACAATTACAATAGTGAACATTTTTCAATAACAAAATATAAATAATTAATACTTATTACAAAAACAAATACTCACTATTGTAATCCTAGTTTAGAGTGATTCTCAACGCGTTTCAACACATTTCGACGAGCTTTCAACATGGCAGGGGTGAGTTATCGCAGTCTCTCTGATTAATTTGGCTTGGTATCGATGTATTCTATCACCAGAGATGGAAACTGGGATAGAAATTTAAGGTGACATACAAAGGTATTCGTATCAACCAGATTCTAACTACGCCTTTGAAGTCCACAGGTAGAGGTTGTAATGAAATTGAATATTTAATAACAGTACATGCCAAATGAATGAAACATATTTTTTTATTTCACAAATATAACGAATAAAAAATAAGGCGAATTCGATCACCAATACTGACAACAAAATTGACAGATAGGTGATGTGTTCTAGATGACAGCAAACATAGAATGATACTTCCTCTTCTTGCAAAGATCGATAGTTGACTCGTATTGCAGGGAGTCAATGAATCAAGTAGCTCAATTTAGAATCCATTTTAAGCTGATAACATACATTTGGTTAATCATTACTTACCTGAATTTGGAAATGGTCAGTGAGTCTACGCCGCGCCGCCCTTTTAAACTTGGAAGGCGACGATATGTTACCAGCCTTATGAGGATGTCTAATTGAAATCCGCAGCTGATAAAAAATTTAAAATATCAAGATATTGTTACAATATACATATTTTACATTGCTTAATGTACATTTTCAATATATATTAAAACTATATAATTTTACAATAATTATTATATTACTAAAAAAACGAAACCATAAAATTGTTCTTTATTCTTATGTCATAACGATGAACGTGATGGTGCATATACATAATTGTAAACTATACAAAATTGTGTGTTATTTATAGAAAACATAAATGTAAATAATTTAGCCTGAACTTTGTAATGTCAAAAATAATAGAACAGAAGTTATTCGTTGATGCTAAGAATTTGAAACAGATACAAGACAACATTTTAAACTGTGTATTCAGTTGATATTTACGTTTTATACCTGTTTTTTTAAATATTATATAATATAAGTATTTGAGTAAGAAAATATAGGATCTTATAAAAATTATGCTGTATTGAATATTTTTATGAAATTACATACAATGTATGAATAATAACAGTCGTTTATATACATACACAGCACTATAGCATCACATTTGTTTCGACTTCATACAAAATCTACCTAGGTAAGGTTTATGATAAATGTCATAAATCTTACCTAAGTAGATTTTATATTGTGCTAAGTGATATTTGTATTTACATTAGCTGCCAAATAAAATTTTAAAGCTGATTTATACAATTTGTTGTGTAAAGTTTATTATCTATATATAAATTTCAATGTTTAGTTGTCTGTTTCAAATGATTAGTAATAGTCCAATAATATCAATACTACAATTATATTACTCGATTGTAACTTACTACAATAAGTTTGCCTAATCGTGCATTAAATTGAAAGTGATTTTAGTATGTAATGTACTAAATAAAAAGGGTAATGTCTGTAATTGGGTTTGTTTTATTTATTTAGTAATATTCATCCTTCTACTATAGTATATAACCGATATTTTGAAGATGGTTTAGCAGTTTTAAATTTATTTATTCTTGTAGCCCTATAATTAAATAGTTTTGAGATACTATATATATTCCTGTATATCTATCGCTTTTCTTCTTTGTATTTCTTATATAAATTGTCAATAGTATATAAAATAGATGTAGAGATTTTTGAGGGAGATCTTCCTCCTTTAATGGGCCAAAATAATGATGTACCTATATATAAAAACTTATTTTGGTTTTTGAAATAAAATATAACCCATATCCGTCCTCCTAATACAATATGTCGTTAGGCCAAATTTCATTAAGATATACTCTGCTGTTTATTCCTGAAAAGGTAACAAGCAGCGTAAAGACGTATTTTGACAATAATTATATTACTATAGATAAACAAGCAACAAAGGAGATATTTCAACTTATTATTAGTCGCTAAAGACGGGACTAAATTGAATATATTCATACATAAAAGGAAGGAAGAAAAGTTGTGGCTTATTCATAGAGCGAAGAAAATTGGTTCCAAGCCTTTTCAGTAATATCTTTTCTTGAATAATATGCTAGAATTGTGTTGGATAAATATTGGTATTTTTCCACCATTTGAGCATATTTCCTTCTGTATCTTTCTTTTGTTTTATGCAAAAACTTAACGAAGTCTAAATATTAGAAAGAATTAAAAGAATTGTTGTTTCTCATAATTTCCTTTAGTTCATTTGAGAGATATGTTTATAAGGATTTAACTGCCTTATCTAAGAATATACCATCTGTTGTATGTATACCATATTACCTCGAATGGGGTAACCAGAGGTGTTATCAATTGTCGACGTTATAGCGAACGCTATATTAAAGATGTAGGGCATATATGGGCACATTTCTCATTTGAAATCAATGTGATGGGGGGCGAGCCTACCGCTGACTCTCTGATATTTCTTTTTGATTTGTTATCGGTGTTTCCTTCCCCTGAAAGTCAGTCAGAATTTTTCTTTGTTTATTTATAGAAAATAACTAAACAAAAAAAAATTCAGACCTGTCTGCCAAATTTGAACTTACGACCTTTAAGGCGCCTGACGTAAGTCAGCGCAGTAAAGTACTGGATCATAGCGCCCTAAAAATACGTTTTTTTAATTTATATATAAAGAAACTATAACTGTTATTTTTATACACGAAACGGTTGTCCAAAGAAAGTCTGAAACAGGTTGGAGAAAGCCCCAATGAAAAATTCAATCAGCCCGTAATCCGTACTTAGAAGAGCTCGCAAAAGACAATGTACTTTTTTCATGAATTTTGAGTGATACTTTATATTGTGCTTTGTCCTCTGTGAGACATTTTTTTTCATCGAAATATTTAAAACCGTTATTACTAAAACAATATACGTAACAATGTATATTTTATAACTTTTATTTATAATATAATAGGAAACGCTTAACTAAAGACATTTAAAATTACTTTGTATGACCAGCTTAGTATGACAACTTTAAATTGACCGAATAATTTCGAGAATTAATTATGGTACATTGTACATCCCATATTATGTAGTAATTATAAAAAATAGGCTTCATCATATTCTGCTGTTTCCAGCGTACAAATATTCATTAAGTAACAATAAAATATAAACATAAAACATTCTAAACATTAACCATTATATATTACTTTATTTCTAATAATTCTACAACGGTTATGTTCGTAAAAATGTCGTTTGCATAGGTACTTCAGGTCAACTTTTCCTTAATAGAGAGAGATAACGCAAAGCATGAGGTAATAAAATCTTAATTCTCCTTAATAGCAAAGCATGAGGTGTATCACGTTCGTCGTATGATAACGCGATGTCCAATGTGTTGTTCATGTATATAGACAACGGTTACCATTTACAATCAGGTGTTAATTACATAAAGAAAACATGTACGTACAAATACAGTTTTAAATAAGTATAGCCGATTTTTTTCTGGTGGTTTACATGGGTTTGCCTTACTCCAGCGTATTTTTTGTGTCGGCCATTCAATCGTTAATGTTAAACAATAATGTACATATATATAATTAAATGCACTCGAACGTCTCGCACTTGACCATTTAACTTTCTTAACAAAAGTAATAAAAATAAGCCCAAATGAATCCTGCGTCCGAGCGCTCGGCTCGTGACGTTCATGATTGGCAGCTTTACAAAATCTTCTTTTATAGCTGGCCATTTAAAAAATACAAAAAAATAAAAACAATGAGACCCGGCGTTCTGAATTCAAAAAATCGCTCGGTTTTCCCGCGCAAAGAAACAAAACATGGTCGGAACAAATCACGGCGGTTGGCCGGCGCGCCTTGTGAATTATTCATTATTCACGTAGGTAAGCAATAATACAAACAGGTGAATATTATTTTTCTTTTTGTGTGCATTGAATAGGTGCCGACGCCTGCGAACGACTGATAATAACTCACCGATTGTTTACTAACTAACGGCAGGTATGAATAAAGCCGTGTTTCGTTGCGTATTTTTCAATAACCCATTGATTAATGCGAACGGAGCACATGCGGTTTGTTGTATAAATTGCAAAAAGCGACTGAAGTATCATACTTCGTGAGTTCAGCAAATAATTATGTAATTGTAAT